GCTCACAATAACCTGCTGCATACATACGAGCAAGCAGATGAGAGGAGGCCAAAGATGCCCAATGTGACGTAATGACAGGAGCGGCAAACATTAGTTACCCTGCTACAGCCCAAAAACACTGTATACGTTTCTGGAAATATTGTCCTGTACCAGATCAATATGTGTGATTATTAATGTTAATCAAGAAACTTTTTTAAATGTTTAGGGAGATAGAAATGCAAACTATTGTGATTTTATCATCATGCACTGAATATATGTATCAATTTATCACACTGTACCTCAGAAATATGCACAAATAAAATGTTTTATAAACAATGATATATTTATATATATAACTAATAATATATAAAATATTTTGTATGTATATTTAGCTGTCATTTAGCTGGGGGAGCTGCTGACTGCCTCGTCCCATACCTGAGGGCTGTTCCTCAACTTAGCCAACACCATTTTCAGTCCAGGAAACAGCCTCTTGAATGGGTTAATTACATAAACACACGAAGTCAGCAAGTGAATCAACTTTCCTTCACTGCTTTCTCATCTCTTTTTTGACGATGCTTCATTTGGGGAGAAACTACAGAATTGTAGTCCTGTGACTGCACACTGGAACACACCAGCCAAGCCTTCCGTTCAGCTCTGCTTGTCTCTGACTCTTGTGCACAGGATCTCAGTCTCCAGCCGTCCAGTCAGCGTGTGGCCGTCTCAGAAGGCTACTTCTAAGTTCACAAAAGTACACAGGACGGCACTATCTGCCATTGGATCCCATGACGACCCTAAATTTTAAGTAATGGTGAATATAAACAGCATTTCGGGATATTTTTAACACACACAATATGATATGAAAATATCCATTATTTCTTTTGGTACTTCTAGTAACATTGTCATTGGTCACCAACCTTCATAACTGAAGGAAAAGCTAAATTTCAGTTAGCAATTAGAGAGAGTAAACATATAATAACTTTTCTCATCAAAATGCATAGGCCTTGGATAAAAATCTCAGGTTTCTAGGGCCATGAGATCAGAGGTTCAGCACATCGGGCCATTAAGTCCAGCAGCAGGCAGACTTGCCTTGCTTGACTGCAGAAGCTTTAGAATCAAATCAATGACTACACTACTGTGATTTCATGTGAAAATTCACACTCCTCGACTCTCCGGGGGGAGAAACAAATGAAGACTGAGCAACTCGAGGCTGGCATTCAGCAAGGTCTGCAGAGCCAGGCTGAACTGAACCACAGCTACGCTATTACACAGGGTGTGAGCTTCCCAGTGTTCACAGTTAGCTATGAACCCCGCCTCACTGTCGCACGCCACCACGTGAGGGCACAGTTAGCTGGTGGACATCTGCAAGCCAGTCAGAGAGCCCTCACCAGGGAGCCAAGCAGGTTGGCCTTGGACTTCTCGGCTCCAGGACAGAGACAAATCAATTCCTGCTGCTTAAGCCACCCTGTCTACTATATTTTGCCATGGCAGCCCAAGCTAAAATGGCTGCTTTCCCACTACAGTGGCAACGTGGATTAGTTGAGATTGGCCTATAAATCATAAAATACTACCTGACCCTTGTTAGGAAAAGTTTTCAACCCCTGCTGTAGTTGCTGAATGAACTGACCAGATATACCTCTAGAATTTCGATGGAGAGGGATTGAGGGATGGTTAGCAGGAGCTATATTTGCGTAACAAGCACTTTAGCTAAAGAATGATCCCATCCCTCCCTATCTCATGCACTGCAAACGCTCACTGCACAAACCCATGCAGGGAGCCACGGAACACACCTATTTGGCCAGAGCCAGAATCTGTTATGACTGAAAACTTGGGTTCAAAATCTATCCTCCAACTTACCAAGAGTATGCCCTTCATTAACAGCCCGGACAGCTATGACACACCAATAGCATACTAAGGACATCGTTTTGATTATACAATTCACAGCAAATACTCATTGCAACGATGTTTACACGAGTAACAATAACAAGATATGTTTTATTAATAGATTCATAGAGAATAAAGTGATAAGTGACTGAGAAACTATAACTTGTTCAGAGTGTGTCTGTGGAGCATGGTTGCAGAGAAAATATTATTAACTTTGACAAACCGAAGCAGCACAGTAGAGTCTATGCAAATACAGACTGCGGAATCAAGCAGAGATGGGTTCAAATCCAGACCCAGACCTGTTAGTTATCTGAAAATGATCTGTTCCAGTCCCAGACCCTCAACCTCCTCATGGGTGAAATGGAGGTTACGCTGCCATTTTTGTGGATTGTTGACATTTGATCAGGTTATTACAGGTAAAATATGCTAAAATTCCTGGTTATATGGAACAGACTCTCAAAATGGTAGTTGAAATTACTAATCATTGGTGCATATTTTCTCACAATTTCTCTTTTTCCTAAGAACGTACTTTGTTTTGGAGGAGAAAATGAGACCCATGGACAACACACCCTGTGCCCACAACTTGCAGGTTATTGTGACTGTCCATCAAGAAGGGCTGGGCAAGGTTACAGAGGGAAGAAGCCATTGGCTGTAACTCAGCTCTTAGCACCTCCAGACACAAGCTCATCACTGCAGGTGCCACCGTAAAGAATACACAGGTTTTCTGTCACTAGTTTCCTCTCTCCATCAGAGGTAGCCACCCTGGTATGCCTACTCAGCTCTTGTAACCTACATGTGGTGTGTGTGCGTGTGCCTGTATGTGTCTACGTGTGTGTGAAAGAGAAAGAGCCAAGAGAGCTTTGTGATGAACTCATATGGAAGATGTATCTCCTTAACTGTCCCTCACTGAGACGAAGATTTGCACTGCAAATATACCAATTGATTATCTGATAAAAACACTGTGGCCCTGAGTTTCCTCGGGTGCTTGAGGTGGGAAGATAATAGCCCATTTCCCTGCACAGGAATATTTTTTTAAATGTCAAATGAGACCCGGCCGGCGCCGCGGCTCACTAGGCTAATCCTCCGCCTAGCGGCGCCAGCACACCGGGTTCTAGTCCCGGTTGGGGTGCCGGATTCTGTCCCGGTTGCCCCTCTTCCAGGCCAGCCCTCTGCTGTGGCCAGGGAGTGCAGTGGAGGATGGCCCAGGTGCTTGGGCCCTGCACCCCATGGGAGAGCAGGAAAAGCACCTGGCTCCTGGCTCCTGCCATCGGATCAGCGCGCGGTGCGCCGGCCGCAGCGCGCCTCTGCGGCGGCCATTGGAGGGTGAACCAACGGCAAAGGAAGACCTTTCTCTCTGTCTCTCTCTCTCACTGTCCACTCTGCCTGTCAAAAAATAAAAAAAATAAAAATAAAAATAAAAAAAAAATGTCAAATGAGACCCAGTGTAAATAACATGTTTTGAGAGGGCAATGACAAATAAGATGTGTCCTGAGGAAGGTAACGTGATGATGGACAAGGGTGTCTGTGATTGGGCAGGACAGCAGATCTCAAGACTGCCAAACTGTAGGGTGGAGCAGACCTAAATAATAAAAGTAGTCAACTATCAGACAGGCTGCCTTGTGCCAGAGGAACTTTTCTTGCAGAAGGCAGAGCACAGACCAAACCAAATCAAGCCAAACCGATTTCTGCTTAACACCAAAAGAACTCTAAGCTCCCAATGAAGAGCAAGGAAGCTCCGTATTTGGTGCCTATTTAGCACCGCTGCTCCACATTCGTCACCGCCTTAAGTTATTTGTGCTTCATATAGTATTTACACTGGACTGTAAGCTTCTTAAGCTTCGGGACTCTGTAGTAAGTCTTTATGCTCTCTACAGCCACAAGGGGACTTCAAAAACTTTGTAGGAAATGGAATTAAAGGATAAGTTATTTTGGTGCAAAAATTTTGAAATCCACGCAAATGAGGGATATCCAAGAAGTTCACAAAAAAGCATATTATGAAAAAAAAAAAACAACACAAAACTCCGTGGATTTAAAAAATGTTTTGCACCAAAATAAGCTTCTATTTTAGTTCCAATTTCCATGAACTTTTTGAAGTGCCCTCATATTCACATTTTTGTTTTGTATGTTCTGGATGCACAGTACCTCTTTGACAACAAAACCGTAAGGGGAAATGATGTTCAAATATATGTCAAATGTCATGACACAGTACCAGTGCCTCTCCTGCCAGTTTCACCCTCTTAGAACCCTGAGTAGGAATCACATTGGTTCAACTGTGCCATTTCTAGGTTGCTACAGGATGGATGTGGATTTGTCTCTTGGCCTGAATTTTTCCCTCCATGTTAACTGCAGGGGGAAGTTTTACTTAAGGGGGCAGAGGACAGAAAGGATTGTTATTTCAAAATACTTCACCATGGATAGGCAAGTACATTAGATGAAATTCCTTAAGTGCAAGTTATTCAGACATGTATTTCATTCTTGGCAATAAGAGAGACCCAAACAGTGCCCAATGACCGATAAATCAGAGCTAGGAGATTGCTTTATGCAAATTAAATTTGTGTCATGCTCATCAATAAAAAGAAAACAGCAATGAAGATTAAACTGCAGCCTCAGTAAAAAGTAAAGGATTCCTATACCTATTTGTAGGATATGTCAATGTGGCTAATTAATTTTTGAGATAGTGCTCTTTGAAAGAATTAATGGAGAGTAGGCTTTGTGAATTGATTATTAAATGAGAATAAGGGTTTAAAGAGCGTTGGAAGTGTAAAATAGGCAACCAGCTTGATGAACACACTAGCTTGAAAGAAATCCACAGAAGAAAGCAAACTGTACTAGAAATGAGTTTACAGCTCTAATATAAATTATAAGAACTGAATATATCATGGTATAGTTTATTTACTTGTCCCTTTCTTTTCAAGTCCATTTTTCATTTTGCATCCTAAGTGATAAAGATTTAAATATTTAGCAGTATTATCAGGGTATTTTCTTCCTTTGGAAAGCAAGTAAAATATAAATTATATCACTTTCCATGGTTGGGAAGGCGTTGCTACAAAACGAACCAACTTTTCCACTCCTCAGCTAATAGAGTGCAACACAGTAACCCTGGGAGCACCGAGAAGGGGAAGCAGATGCAGACAACATACCCGCTTCCGTAGATTGCAAGTGAGAGTGAGATTCCTTGAGAACGAGTTTGCAAACGCCGTGTAGAAGTCCAGCACTTTCAGCAAGGCTTCCCGCTTGATGATGTGCAGGTCGCAGTATGTCAGCGCCCGAACATTGGCACAGGCATGAGCAAGGGTGGTTTCCTTCCAGAAGATGTCTCCAAACACATCGCCTTTCCCTGGAAAACCCAGCGAGACATAGACTCAGTGATCTACAACAGGTGTGATGGAAACAATCACTGTGATTCAGTTTCACGCGCTTTGTTGATCTTCCAGTGTAATTGAGAGCTGAAGGGATAACCCCATCTGCATACATGTAACAACATATCCCATCTACAGACACGGAACAACATACAACTCTTCTACACACCAAGTAGAGCAACAGCAGCCTGAATTTAGTTCTTGATAGAAATCTTGGAGGGCATGAACAAATATAACCCAAGTAAAGTTTTATTATTTAAATTATGTAACAAATAATTTGATTTTCTTCTGCCACCTTAACTGTTCCTGTTCTTGAGTAGAAGGAACAAAGGCAGTTTCATCCTTGCTCTACTTCTTCTGGTAAAGATGACAAAAAGATGATAGTATACAAAGATTTGCTGTTAGCGCCTTATCAATCCAGCCCCGATTGAGCACACATTCAACACACAGCACTAAAACTTGCCATGACTCAGCTACCAAAGGATGCTTTTTCTTTACCTAGCGAAACACCATAGAGGGCCTTAGCATCCGGCCTAAGGGACCCCATTCACAATTCCAGGGCTTCAGAAGTTGTGTTGGCTAAAGCCTGGAGGCCGAGATTTGTTATCCATAAACAGCCCCTTAAAAAAATTAATGCAATGCTGTAGTCATATGCTTACGTCTTTTGAAAATTCTAGAAATCACCTACTCACTTCAGTGCACCATCGACTAGTGGTCTAAAAACCACCTGCTCTTCCAAATAAAGAGTACTTACCCAAAAAGGAAATGAGGTAGCCTCAAAGGTTAAAGGTTTCAAAAGATCTCCAAAAGCACCCCTGGCTCCTAAAGCATAGGCAACTGCACTCTGTTTTCAACTTCCAGGGGAAAGGGAAGTTTTGAAGTGGGAAAGACAGGAGGAATCCATCTAAGTATCTAAGCTTGCTGGAGACCAATGATTTCTTATTTCTATGTTCTAACCAGAGACATGAGAAAATATCTGTTCTCATCATGCAGATTAAAATGGGAACTGACAGGAAAAAAGATGAAAGCCATCTTACAATCCTTCAGGCCAGCCATACCATCAGAGAGAAAAGACAATGTGTAACCAGAGAAATGTGTGTGTGGTGGAGGCGGGGGGGGGGGGGTGGGTGGGGGGGGGGTGGAGAGACTGGGAAATTACAGACTCTGCCCACAGACTGCTGGGAAGCCCTTAAAGAATCACAAACTTGGGATGGAACCTTAAGAGGCATTCCAGAAAGAGAAAATTCGTACATTCTTAGCAAGGGGTTTAAAAACCCCTAAGTGATCATGTAAGCAGCATAAAAGAACCATGATAGATATTTAATTATTCTTATGCAAGTTACTTTTTTCTGGACCCTGCCAAAATTCCCATTAGGTAATAATACTCAGGAACAACACAACTAATGGCCTGAGAGCCATTTATTTGTCCAAGGAATAAAGATTACAGACCTGTTACCCAGGTAAGATCTCTAAAGTTCTAAGTGTCCTAATAACCTAATAGAGATTTTTGCTATAGAAAATTAAAACATAAACTCTACATCCTTATACACAGATAACATTTCAGAAATATGCTTATGGCATTTTCTTTGATCTAGAAATTCCAATTATAGGCATTTATTTCAATTGCATAATCAGAAGTGTCAAATTTACTTATAAAAATGCTCACAGAAGTGATATTTATAACAGCAAAAAAAATAGCGGAGAAAACCAACATGTTAATGAATAAATAAATTGTGAAATATGTAGCCACCAAGTTTCATAAAAAATTTAAAAAGTGACTTAGAGAAATGCTTATCTTATGAAAATAATATAAGCGAGATAGCAGACCTGTGAACAGTATAATCAATCTCATCTCATGGGCTCCACCCACATGCCCCACACATATGTAAATACATGGAAGTAGGTAGGCCCTGTCTGCACTATGGAACAATGAATGGGTTTTGTTTTTCTTATAATGAATATGCATTATCTTTTTGGTTTTTTGACAGGCAGAGTTAGACAGTGAGAGAGACAGAGAGAAAGGTCTTCCTTCCGTTGGTTCACCCCCCAAATGGATGCTACAGCAGGCGCGCTGCGCGGATCCGAAGCCAGGAGCCAGATGCTTCTCCTGGTCTTCCATGCAGGTACAGGGTCCAAGGACTTGGTCCATCCTCCACTGCACTCCCGGGCCACAGCAGAGAGCTGGACTGGAAGAGGAGCAACCGGGACAGAACTGGTGCCCCAACAGGGACTAGAACCCAGAGTACCGGTGCCGCAGGCAGAGGATTAGCCTAGTGAGTTGCGGCGCCAGCCGAATATGCATTATCTTACACACAGAAAAGATCAACAGTTACTACACGGCCAAGTCCCTGGTGCTATTAAAAATAACACATTTTAATGGGCTGATCTCCTCTACCCCTTCCTCTTGGTTGGCTGTCATCATTGGTACTCTTTCCACATTGAGTTCTTGAGAGATAGAAAAGGGGTTACATGTCCATACTCCATTTCCATGACCCTTTCTCAAATGATCAATTATAATGCAACTCTGACCCATATAAAGCCTCATTATTCTGCAGCTGATTTTCATGTACAGTGCTCTTTAACAATTGTCAATGCCTTTGACACAGTGATTTCACTGCTGGGAATCATCATGGGATTAGAACCAACACACAGAGTATCACTGTCGGGTTATTAACCACAATCCTGGACTGCTTAAAAATTCATCCATTGACAATAGAAATCACTAAAATGTATCAACTTAGGCAAAATTAAGGTACATTTTGAAATAACATGCAAAAATTCTTATTTTATACTGTTAAATGAAAAAAATAGATTTGAAGAAATATATGGTTAAGGTTACTGATCTAATAAAGTGTACAAAAATAAAACTGAAAAACTGAAATACCAAGACTAAGTGAATTCGGGGGCCGGCGCTGTGACGTAGCGGGTTATCATCCTGGCCTGAAGCACTGGAGTCCCATATGGGCGCTGGTTCAAGTCCTGGCTGCTCCACTTCCAATCCAGCTCCCTGCTGTGGCCTGGGAAAGCAGTAGAAGATGGTCCAGGTCCTTGTGCCCCTCCACCCGTGTGGGAGACCTGGAAGAAGCTCCTGGCTCTTGGCTTCAGATCGGTGTAGCTCCATCCGTTGCAGCCAGTTGGGGAGTGAACCATCAGATGGAAGACCTCTCTCTCTCTCTCTCTCTCTCCCTCTCTCTCTCTCTCTGGCTCTCTCTGTGTAACTCTGTCTTTCAAATAAATAAATAAATCTTTAAAAAAAAAAGACTAAGTGAATTGTTATTTATTTGAAATCTACTTTTTTGGGGCCAGTGCTGTGGCTTAGCGGGTAAAGCCGCCGCCTGCAGTGCCAGCATACCATATGGGCACCAGTTCAAGACACGGATGTTCCACTTCTGATCTAGCTCTCTGCTAGAAATCAGTAAAAGATGGCCCAAGTCCTTGGGCCCCTGCACTCGCATGGGAAGGCCTGGTGGAAGCTCCTGGTTCCTGGCTTTGGATCAGCATAGCTCCAGCCACTGCAGCCAATTGGGGAGTGAACCAGCAGATGGAAGACCTCTCTCTCCCTCTCTCTTTCTCTCTCTGCCTCACCTTCTCTCTCTCTGTGGAACTCTGACTTTCAAATACATAAATAAAACTTAAAAAAAATAAAGAAATTACATTTTGTCTTCACAAAAATTCTCTTGACAGAATCAAAGTATAGTTTTTATAGTTATGTAACTACATAAAGTATATTATTATTAATTTGTCAATTGTTAACAAACTGGTAAAAGCCAAAAGGAGTGAAAAACTAAAAGAAAATACATTTAAATAATAGCAGCAGTTGGCTTCAAGTAGTGTGAGTTTTTAAATTTCTTCTCTATTTGCCCAACTATTTCTATAATGAACTGAATTATATTCTTATTAAAATAGCAAACTATTTTCACAGATTTCTCTTCTTATACTTTTAATAAAACTGAATTCATAGTAAGACATAGATCAGTAAAATAGTAAATAAACATTCCTTGATAGTTTAGTGTTTCATGAATAGATAAGACACTAAATGTATAAATATACTTTCCTTATCAATATAGACCATTTTTAATTTTAGAAGCATTAAAATTATCTTCTGTATATATTATTTTACCTAACTGATAAAATTAAATCTTTATCTTCTACATAACATTCTAAAATTTGAATCATGTGTTTTTTAGTGTCATTAAGAAATGAAATGTCTATGATGTAAAGAGTACCAATTAACTCGAATATAAACTCTTGATAAACTTTATCCCAAGCTCCTCCCCCAAAAAAGTCTAGAGAAGTATGCAGAAATTAATAAATTGAATAATTCTATCCCCAACGTGAAAATTAGCTTTCTGTAACAAACAATGCTAATTGTTTCATTATATAGAATTTCTGCTAAGACACAAAATATATAAATCGAGTATTAATACAATCGACCATTTCAAAACGCTTTATCTGACTTTTTATGTCACCTAATAGTCATTCAACTCCCAACAAACTGTAACGGAACTTTCGCAAAAGCAGTCATCCTGTAAGTCCATTAATAAACAGCCACAGCACAGCCGGCTAATGCCCTCCTTCAAGGGGTATTACCAAGCATCTGCAGAAATCACAGGTTGAGGAGATGCGGGAGCAGGTGTGGAATTTCCAAGGGAAAAACGCCCTTTTCTTCACAGCCAGGATTTTGCACACATTCAGGGCTACAAACTGCTGTTCACCTTTGTGACTACAGAGCACTTGATGCTGGTTTTCAGGTCAGCACCTGCTGGCTGTAAGCAGTCGAAGCTAGAAACATTTTGGAGTTTGAGAGAACTAACTGTCCCCTCCTACCACCACCACACCCAGAGCCCTAAAATTAGCAGAAAAGCTCACACTCAACATCAAAGTTGTTGTTTGGTCTATTTATATTTTCTCAGTTCTATGCATCGAATCTTATGAAGCAGTTCACTGAAAGCCACAGGATACAGGATTGTAAAAGTTA